TGCTTATGCAAATAATACTTCTCAAGTTGAGAGCTATTTGCAAAGACGTTTTCTGTTGAAGGATACTTTATTCTACTGGGTCAATGTCAGATGCCAGCTCTCGTGCGCAGCTTCACTGTGTTATGTGTACAACCGTTTTAACCTTTACATAGATGGCTCACCATGGATACTTCAGCTTGAGAGATACTGCACAGCTGGAGCTAAACAAGAGAAGGGAAGTGTGGTCCTGGGCGCAGGAGAAAGCTATCATCAGGCAGAAAGAGGGAAGGTACAAAGAGCACAGCATAGAGCCATTGCTGTCAGCCTTGCTGTGTGCTGGACACTTGTCTTAACCACAGAGCTTACACAGTTCAGTAAACAAGGCAACAGGCCTCCCCCATGGGCTGTGGCTAGACTATTTCATGTCCTCATTACTGTTTGTAACTTAGATTGTCTTCAGTTAGGGCTAAGTGCCATATCAAGATATTTTTCACTTCAATTTTATCAAATTTTGGGAAGAAAATGGTGTTTAAACATTCTCTTAGGATACACCTATACAAAGACTTTTACACAATTGCTTTTACATGCATATATTTTTTTAAACTGTGTTCCTTGATTTTTTGTTTGTTTTATAGCTAGAAAAATTAAATGCAGTATGACTACTTAGAGAAACAGAGGGGAAAAACCCCACCACCTTCTATCATTTGTGAGACAGCAGCTCAGAGACCATTTCTTTTGGATTTTCACAGATTAATGTCCTCTCTGGCCCAGAGAGAAGCAGCTTTGAGGATAATCTAGGCTGTAGCTGTCTCCAACTCCAGAAAATCTGCTGAGAGAGAAATGAAAAGTTAGCATTAGAACAATTCCATGAAGGACAAAAATATTCAGGAATACTACCTCATACTTACAATGTAAAATTTACAATAATGCACTCCCTAAAGTAAAAACAATGTGGTGTTTCATATATATTAATAGATACCTTTAGAGTAATGAAGGCTTATTATCCTGTATAGGACTGATGTTCCCTGTTAGTTTCACACTGCCAGGACCTTTGGCACAGTTCCTTAGAATTTTGTTTTGGTACAAGCTCAATAGTTTGTCATGTGCTCATGAGCTTTCAGAATAGATTCAAGTTAGGATGACATCATTGCAAAACAAAAAGAGTGGGGGTGAGTTAATATGATTTCATGTAAATTATGCAGTGTTTTCCCACTAACAACCAAGGATTCAGGTCAACTGCAATGACAGTCTTCATTGTAAGGAAAATTCACCTTAGTTAGATTTTATGAGAGTGGAAGATCATTGATGCTACTAGTTTCAGGATACTCCCTTCTGGATCTGAGATCTGTATCAGACTTGTATCAGAGGAGAGTGGTTTCATTAACACACATACATACCTCATATACATACCACACATACATACAGACATACATACAAAATACCTATACATACATACCTATACACACACAGAGAGAAGGAGATAGAGAGAGAGAGAAAGAGAAGGAGAGAGAGAGAGAGAGAGAGAGAGAGAGAGAGAGAGAGAGAGAGAGAGGAAGGTGGATGAAAGGTGCTTACTAGCTTTAAGTTCAAGGCTTAAGAATAGTATGTTAATTTTATCAATTTCTTAGCAATGGCATTATTCCTTACATTACTTCAATGTTTTTCATAAGGAAATAACTTAGAAGATTATCTTGTCTGTAGTAAAAGAAAAACATTTTTGTTGCAAATGACAGTTCACTAATTTATTGAACTTTAACTTTGAGAAAAACATTTTTTGGGGGGAATACTGTAAGTAGAGAAAGCTTTAAGATGTTCTGGTTTATACCTGTATTTAGTTTAGCTCTCAGAAATCCATCAGAGCAGTTTCTTTGTGTGGTTTATGCAGAAACAACAGTCAAAGTGCAGAAAATAAGTGTCTATTGAATGCTAATCCATTCATGGGGCATCTGTATCACCCCACACGACCACAGTTCAAACACAGAGGAAGAGGAGGCAGGAGGATTGCAAGAATCAACAGTCATATGGACTGGAACAGATAAAAACCTCCTGGACATAAGAACTCTGTGTTTATGAACTCACGGGAGCTATGGTTGTTCACTAAAGACCTTCATAGGATCAGGGCAGTCGACATTCCAGCTCAATGAGACAATATGTATTTTCCAAAAGGCATCTTTTGTTGTCCTTAAGATTTATTTATTTATTTGTGTATGAGTGCTCTATTTGCATGTATGTTTGCATGAGAGAAGAGGGTGCCGGATTCCATTATAGACATTTTGAACCAACATGTGGTTACTGGAACTTGAACTCAGGACCTCTGTCAAGGCAGCCAGTGCTCTTAACTGCTTAGCTATCTAGCTTATGAAAAGTCATCTTCTCAAAGATGACACATCTTGCTCACTTAGGTCTCAATGATGCATTCCCAGAGACCTCTCAATCGAGCATGTGCCAGTAGTTAGATTATGCTACATAGGGTTAAAGTGATCAGTACCTTTATGTTCCTAGCACCCCCTCTCCTAGACCTAGATGATACACTGTACAACTTTGTTCTTTAATGTTTAACATAGTTATGACCTAACAGCTTTTAGACACTGTTAGAAAGGAGATTGTTTCTTAGCAACCTGTAGATGTAACGTGGCTGACAATCCAAATCCCATATACAACCTTTGTGAAAACAACCCAGTTTCAGCTTTCCCTTGAGAAGCCCATCTTGCCCTGTTAGGTGTGCATTATCTTTCCCTCTCTGAAGCATCTTTTTTTTTTTTTCTAATAAGCCCCCTGCTTAAGATCTACATTAAAACCTGCTTTTAATAAAATCTCCAGCTCGGTTTCTTATTGGATCACTGTGAAACTGTTTTCTGTAGGGCAGCCACAAATTCTGGATTTTCTTGAGTAGAGGTCTCTTAAGGAAAGGGGAACTAGCTCTTCACCTCCTGGAAGACTGGAATGGAGATGTGACTATGTCCCTGCTGCTAGAGATAGCAGGTACAGTTTCAGGGCTGAAGCAACAAAGCCTCACTTTTCCTTGGAGATAGCTGTTTAAAAAACAAATAACAAAAACAAACAAACAAACAAACAACAACAACAACAAAAACTTCCCAAACCATGACCTTTGAAAAGTATCCATACTCAGGCTTCAGTTTGTTTTTGCAGAAGGGCGTAGATGATCCCAGAAGCCTCTGCTACAGGAGAGGAGAGTCAAGTAAGGTATTCTCGAACAGTAGATCTTTTCTAGGAAGGATAATTTGGAGGTAATTCTGCATGCAGTCTGACTTCAGATCCTCTATCACCCACTCTGTGACATTATCAAATTTGTTACTTTAGCATTGCTGTGATTAAAATACCCAAAGGAAATCACTTAAGAGAGAAAAGGTTTATTTAGGCTCACAGTTCCAGAGAGACTTTAACCTATTGTGGCCAGAGAAGGCATAACAGTAGCAGCCCCCACTGTCAGAGGCAATGTGAACACCCCCTCCCCTCACATACTGCCTCTGGTCCCCTCCCTGCAGCAGGAGGGCAGGCCCTGGACTAATAAAACAACTTTCAAAGGTCTGCCTCTAGTGACCTATAGGGAGCCAGGTCCTACCTCCTAAAGATTCCCCAGCCTTCCAAACCAGCACGACTAACTGGGAGTAAGGGTTTAAAACATTTGTGGCAGACAGTTTAGATTGAACGCCCCAAAGCATTGACTCTACAATAGTGTTTTGTGAGAAATCAAAATTTTTATCTTGAGGATCGAGAGTTATTTATTTATTATCATTTAGATTTCGGTATTTTACATTAAATGATATAAGTAAGATTTGCCCTCAGCTTCTCTCCATCCCCTTCATCGTTATCTGTCGAAAGACTGTCATCTGTGGGCAAGAAGGTGCGTCCAAGAGAGAAGACTCCTGGAGGCAGGAGGCTCTGACATAAAGAAAAGCAGCAAAACCGGACTGCAGCCCCCATCTTCACAGCTGTGTGAAAACAAAGCTTCTTTTCCCCTGTTCTGCATCGCTGCCCTCAATGGGTTCCACTCTTCCCCTAGGTGGTACTCAGCATTCACAGATGACAAGGATCCTAACAATTGTCAATGGTGGCTGAGGAAACTACAAGCTTAGAAGGCGTCCTCCCACACAGTGACTGTCTCTGGTTCTTCTTCAAGGAGACTGCTTCCAAGATGGTCTCGAACTCCAGGAAATCTCGAAGTTGACAGCAATGTATCAAATCACCACACGTTACATGGTTTTCTGTTACTCACAGACACCATGTAGGCTACTGGAAGACAAAAATGATAATGGTCTCTGGTGGATCTTAGCTGGTTGTCCAGCTGCTGCCAATTTTATTTTGAATACTCAGTTCTCAGGTCCCGACCCAGTACACTGCACAAGCATAGGAGGAGATCTATGGCTTAGGGGACATGAAGAAACTCTAAGGTATTAGTGTGGTGAGAATGTGCATGGTTAAGGAAATAGGGTTTTTGAGTTATATTAACATTTTAATGTCTTAACTAAGGATTTCCAAAAGTACTTATGGCACAAATGGCGTAAATCCTTATTTTTGACACTGAAAGGATCAACGATCACAGTGTACTGGCGGAACTGTAGCAAATCCTTTTCGAAGAGAGGTCTTGTACTCTTGGAAGTGCTTAGGCACCGGAACCAAATTCCCAAGAAGCCAAGAGGTGGTGCGCTGCTCTCGGGCACCGCCCTCATACCCGCCCCATCCCGTTGAAGCTAGAGCACCAACGCTCGCGAGAGTCCTGCCGGCTTCCACGTTTGCCACGTTCCAGAGGATCAAGGCAGACTAGAAAGCCACCAGCCGCTCCGGCTTTGCAGCCACTACGCAGCAAAAGACTTGCTTCGGCCGGCGGAGGGCAGGGGAGCGTAGCCTGCCCCGCCCCCTACCAGCGATCCTCGGGATTGGCTTGTGTTGACGTCCTTCAGATCTGGTGGGTGGGCCGAGGCTGGCGTGGGCGGGGCCGAGGCCGGGCAAGCTGAGCGCTCTTGGCAGCCCGGGGAGTCGCAGGCTGGGCGCACGCGAGGCTAGCTGCGCCTCTGCACGCTGGTGCTAGTCGTCCGAGGCGCGGCTTGCGCGGTGGACCCTGAGGCACTGCTGCAGGAGTCGCGGAGCCCCGGTGTCCCTAGTACACTCATCAAGGTCCCAGTTTCTGCAGTCTCTGGAGCAGCTCGCGATGGCCCCGCGCAAGAATGCCAAGGGTGGCGGCGGCAACAGCAGCAGCAGCGGCAGTGGCTCGGGCAGCGGTAGCCCGAGTACGGGTAGCAGCGGTAGCAGCAGTAGCCCCGGGGCGCGGAGAGGTCAGAGTCCCCAAAGGCCAGGCCCTGGCTCCGGGTGGGAGCCGAGTGGGAGCCGGGTGGGCGCTGCAGGTCTGGTCTGGTCATCCGTCCATCGCTCCTCTCCATCCTTAGCGAGGCTCCTGTGTGCGCGGGGCGAGGCCGCGCTCACCGGGCGGGGAGGCGGAGGAGCAGAATCGGGCCGAGAGGGACCTAGTACCGGCCTGCCCGAGCGCTGTGAGGCCCTTCCTTGGCTTTCCTGGTGGAAGCTGGGCGCAGAGGGCCCTTTATCTTCTCCTTGCAGATTTCGGGGCGCTTGGCCCTGAGCCAAAGTCAGGGAAAGTAAGTTTCAGCCTGGCCAGCAGTGTTGAGGAGCAGCTTGGAGAAGTGTATTCAAGGGCCGGGATGAGACTGGATGCATCGTTCTTGCAAATTATTTTAAGAAGTTTTGTTTAGTTTTCTTAATATGTATTGCGTTTGCCTTTTAAAATACTAAGGGATATCATAAAGTACTATAGAAATTTTCTCTGTGCCTCCTTTTTCTTAAAAAAAAAAAGAACCCTACTGGTTATTCACCTTTCTTCTCCATGTGCTTAGCCAGCAGAGCGGAGAACAGATGTTTTAAATCTGTTTCGTGTCATATTTCACCGGTTCTCGGTTTCTTTTATATTCCCTTTGACTCATATTTAGAATATTGGAACTGGAACACACACACACACACACACACACACACACACATGTGTATTGAATGTGAGCTCTCACTATCACTGGAAATGATTTAGATTCTGTGCTGCAGTCTATGGGCAGACCATTTATTATATTTCATTTATAGATTGGATGATTATGGTTTTATTAGTATATGTCAGGAAAATAGATGAGCCAACTATGGTTTTTCTTCATAGCACTTACTGTCTTCATGTATATTGTCTTTGTTTCACTCTCTTCTGTTTATTCCCTTTTCTCAACTAGAATAGTTCTTTCCCTTAGTAAGTGTGCAATAAATATTTGATTAGAAAAATGAATGAGTAAATGTACATGGAGAGTAATGCAGTAGATCCATTGTACACACTAACATTCTGAGAACTGTTTGTATTCTTAATGGAAAGAACTCTAGGTACACAATTTGAGGTCCAAGGCCACTGTAGTAATTAATCCACCTTTAATACAGGTAAAAATGGCTCCTAAGTCAGCTAATATGACGTAGACAGCACCATTGCTGTGTGGCTGGAGATATAGATTTGAACTATGTGAATGAGGAGAGCCTACTGAATGTTGAGGTACCAAAGAGAAAGCTAATGAGCAAGATTTTAATGTTTTCTGTAGCTGTTGACTAGTGAAATATGCCGTTGCTGCTGTCCTGGGAGCTTTGTGTGTGCTGGGGAAGTGCTGTAGCCACTGAGCTACACCCCAGTCCTTCATCATCATCCTTTACACCCTTGAGTAGAGAATTGAGTGCATCCAGGGAAGTCACTTATGAGGCCTGGGAGTACAGAGAATGAGCATCATTCCCCTATAAATAAACCAGTGTAACAGTCTGCTGATAGAGTTAGAAAACGACAGGATGTATAGTACTGATTCTATCATTAGGATGTATATATAGTACCTTATTTTATCATTAGGATGTATAGTACCTCATTCTATCATTAGGATGTATAGTACTTTATTTGGTCATTCGGATATATAGTACCTCATTCTATCATTAGGATGTATAGTACTTTATTCGGTCATTCGGATGAAAGTACCTTATTCTATCATTAGGATATATATATATATATATATATATATATATATATATATATTACCTTATTCTATCATTAGTGTGTGTGTGGATATATATATACATATATGTATATATATATATATATAACCTTATTCTATCATTAGGATGTATAGTACCTATTTCTATCATTAGATTGTATATATAATACCTTATTGTATCATTGCTCACACTTTAGAGTATCATACCTATACTGAAGCACATGTTCATTCATAATGAAGGAAACACTGGTGTTCTAAACCCTCCCCCCAAGCCCAAGCCTAAATTACATAGAGCGCATAATTTTTTCTAGGCCATTATTTTAAGTAACCATTTAAGTAAGTATTGAGTTCTGATTGGGTGAAAAATAAGGCACCAGAGGTAGAAACTAAAACTAAAGAGTTACATTATAATAAGAAAGTGTGGTTCTGTTTATTACTTTCTTATAGCAGGGTACACCTGAAAGATAACAGAGTACTGAAAGAAAAGTTAACTTTATGTGGTCTCTGAGGTAGGGACATTGACATACAGTCCAACCCTGACTGCCTGAGAGTCCATAGGTGCAGATAATATTGCTGTGCCATTTAGTGTCTTCCAGTTACATAAGGTGAGAAAATTAATGCTTAAAGGTTATCTTGCTCAGCCTGTGGAAACCCAGGTAGGAAGGAAGAGAACAAACTAAATTCCAGGTTTTCTGTTGCTCATCTTTGCACTGTACTGATTGAATCATGGGTTCTTAAATACAATATGTCAGATCTTATGGGGTTGGGAGTTGAAGCAGTTTATTAAGTTACCATGGCATTTCCCACGGTAGAGTTACAGCCTTTGTAGAAATTTGTGCTTTTATCTTTAACTAATCAGCCTTTGACTAAAACATATTTGAAGTAGTACATTTGAAAATCATAGTTTGAAAAGTGTACACACTAAGTTTTTTACTTGAGAATATGATGTCAGTGGTGACATTGGTCTGATGACTCATTGGTACTTAGACTTTTATATAAAAGTATGATGGGGGATGGGAGATATGATTCAGTCCTATAATACACACCTATAGAAACGATATTTTAAAGCAGGTTTCTTCAGCTCAGTTGAGAAATGATAAAGTAGAATTTCATTTTGCAGTTTTCAATTTTATTCCTTAGAATATGGAAGAAAGGAGTTGGACATTTTGCATTTAATGTGTATATAAAATGTCATTTATGTGGTCAAGGTTTTAGAACACAGGTGTTTCATTCATAGAGTGTGCTTCATTATTACATTGCCAGTGGTCCAGGAAAAGTCTTTTTCACACTTACTGACTGGGAAAGCTTTTGAGGAAGAGGATTCCCGATACAGTACAGAGGGGCGGCTACAGTGCATCACCCTTGTGGGCAGTGTCTTGACCTACTACCCTCTGTCTCTTATGGCTGTGGCTTGCTTTTTTCTTGCCTCTTACCAGGAGGTGTCGCTGTAGAACATGTTTCTCCTCCCAGTATGAAGCTTCAAGTTATATAATGTCAATTAGGTCTTAAAATTACTTAATCAGTCTGTACTTACCCAGGAACTCTTATCTACTGGTGTCCAGTTCTCTCAAGATAACTAACAGATTTTGAAATTTAATAATAAGCGTTTGTGTCGTACAATCTTAAGACTTAACGAGAATGAAATATATCCATTTTTTTTTATATAAATTCACACAATCATTTGATACATTTTGGTCATTGAGGAACACACTTCCGAATTTATTCTTCCCCAACTCCATATACTTTCTGTGTCTCTTAGGTTACTAATGTGCACAGTATGCTGCTGAGTGTGTCCTGGCTGTCTTGAAAGAAGGGGGCCCAGTCACAGTTCTTTTTACTTAACCGAGGGGATCAGTTAGGGCCTGTGCCTTAATACTCTGCCAGCCATTTAAGGATGGAAAAATGGGAAGTCCATAATTTGCTCACTATAAGAACTGTGTTTTTTGCCGGGAGCTGTACCCAGCTTGGTGTGGGGAGAAGGTGATCATCTTTCTTCTCCTCTGGTCGGTCAGTTCTTCTTGAGGCAGCCAAGGGGGATAGGAATTGGAGGAGCGTCGGCGAGGGGTAAGACTTGGTCTTACGAGATTTGGGGTAATATCTTATGAGATATTTAGGGTTGCTGTTTAATAAAATCTTTCTTATCTACATTACTAAAGTTTACTTACTAGGCTGCTGTAGCTGACCTGCTATCTGTTTGATCCTCTGAGGCCAGAAACTGCAGTTTCTGGCCACTAACACCTCCGCCCAGGGACAGCAGAGAATTAAGAAATGCCTTTGATCTGTCTCTGTAGGCGCTGCCAGGCTCTAACTTAGGTCTGTTGGTTTGAGATCGCAGGAAGAAAAGACACTTAAAGAAGTTATTGTAGTTTATTGCTAGTTTCCTATCTAAGGGGGAAAATGGGAAGGTCCTAAGTGGAAAAAGGAAAAAATTCTAACAAAGGAAAAATTCTAAGTAGAGAGATTCTAAGCAGGGAAGAAGGGAGAAGAGGAGAGAGAGAGAGAGAGAGAGAGAGAGAGAGAGAGAGAGAGAGAGAGGTGTGAAGTGAAGTGAAGTGAGGAAGAGAAAGTGAGTTGCTAACGGACGTCCCTTTGTCTTATACATCATTCAGAGTACCTGATCACATGTTACAAAGTTCATCACAAGTTCACACCAAAATTCAAATCATAAATTGAAATAGAAGTTTACAATTGAGAATGTTTACATGCATATCCATTAGGAGTAATTATCTGACTAAACATCCATCACCTGTCTAGCTCCACAGGTTCACCGAAGGTTTAAAACTATAACTAAGAAATTAGTGAAGTTTTGTATAGATAAACCCAGGCAATATTTTTTCTTCTGTCCTAGCACCTATAATAAATCGTGAGTTCCCTTTTTGGTTAATTGTTTTACAACCACCTTGGAATGTGCTCTGAGTAGGAGAGAGACTGGTTACTATCTAAGTGCTGTTAACAGATGACACTTGGGAGACTGGCAGAGTTCTCATTGCAGTTTTGACTATCAGAAAGGGACTTAATAGCAGTCCCACTATAAAAGAGCTTAATAATCATTGATATAATTTTAGGAATTCTTATAGGATCATCATTAAGACTTAAGAAGTCGTCTATTTGTCTATATAGCAACACTACAAGACAGTACATCTTCGTGGGTCTGCAGAGATCTGCTCCAAAGGGGAGTAATATTGCTTAGTGATTGTTATATATATTTAATAATAATAGGAAAAGCATATTAATAGCAGGATCTTTCCTAAAATATGTCCAACATA